CTTTCTAAGTGTAGTTTGCATGTACCCCCCATGTGTGCGTAGGTTTCCTTTTGAGAGCTCTGGCTTCCTCCAACATTATAAAAATGTGCAATAGCTCCCCTCTCGCTGGGGCCAGGACTCACTGGGGCCAAGTGGGACTTGGTTAAATAAAGGTCAATAATTAAATAAATAAAAAAACATTCAAACCTTATATTGCTCTTACCATATCTGGAGCTTGTAGACATATCGTACAGCCTTCTCAATACTAATACAACCAGTTTAAATATACAGATTCATGGTGTTTCATTACCATTGCTGTATCATGTCCTTTCCATTGCTGGTATTTGCTGTCACTTATTTACCATATTGGTATTTACTGACTTTTCCCATTGCTGGTATCTCCCTCATGCAGTTGTTGTGCATCCTTGTAAAATGCATCTGTAAATGTCCTTAAACCCATTAATGTTTAGTTAAAAACTTGAACAGTTTATTTACATGTGCCATTCGCTTTGTTTTTTGTACTGGAGAAAATAGGAAGCTCAATGAGTTTTTGTTTAAAGGCACTAGGGGTGGGATTAAATACGTTTTCTTCTTCCCACTCCTTTTCGAGTATCTACAAGTGTTTCTTTTGTGTATAAAATCTTTATAATTTTGAATTATGTTAATGTGACTCAAGGTTATTTTTTATTTTTTTGATATCCTACTTTTGTTTATTGTACACTTATTTGCTCAAAATAAACATGGCTAACTAATGGTGTGCTTGGGAAAACCAAGTGAAATAGTGAAATACAACTTCAGCATTAAATGAAGTTTAATGCAGTGAAATACATACATATGCGTACATAGGTTTTCCACATGCGGAATGTCTCCTGCTGCCTCAAAGTTGCAGAAGTTAAACAGATCAAAAAGGAACATCCTCCAGGAGAGTGATGCGATTAGAGGACTGCCCAACATTTGCCCAAGCAACGCATGGACAGCTCAAACAAGTTGGGAGGGAACCAGTATCCAAGGCTTATGCACTCTATAAACACATTGGTTGGGAAAAACTACCAACTACCTCAAGTCCCACTCATATTTACACATACTTCACCTTTCTTTTTTATAAGGTTAAATTATTCCATTATCAGAGGACATTGCAAAGGGCACTTTGGTTTAGCTGCTTTGTTTGTATTGCTATTATTTTTATTGTTATTTTAATTCCACTGTTCAATGTGAAAAAAACAGTTAATATGGTGCCACTGCTGACCTTGTTTAAGTCGCGCTTTTCCGTTTGTTAAATAGATCCATGTCTGCATACACAGAATAACCACTCATTCTCTCCGCACTGCATTTCCTCATTAGTTTTAATTGTGTCTCCTCTTCTTGAGCACATTCAAAAGGAGAACACGCTGGTGAGGACATGAACAAATTGCCCACCTGCAGGTAAACATCTTTGAAGAAACATTGGGAGAGCACTGCTAATATTGTCTTCATGGGGAGAGCAGAAAAGTGCATAATCCCAGAGACGAACGTTGATTGAGCACATACATAGTCCCATAGCCAGCATGCTGAGGCCGGCTGCTGCCTCTATGCTGATGGAGCGTAACGTTGGAACAAATAAAAGACAACACAAAAAGCTTTAAAAAGACATACAATCATACACATTCACAAACAAGTGAAAGTCAAATCAGACCAAAGTGCTATCTTTAGATTATAAAAAAACATTTAATCTTTTTGCATACTTGTAAGAAAGAACCCAGGGATGACACCTGATTGGCTGAGTGGGGGTGGTCCTCTATTTTTCTTTCCAAAAACAGGCTCTAAAAATGTGATATGTACCAAAAATACATACATGGTGAAAACTAGTGATAGACCCAAACTGAGCCAGAAACTCCATTTTGTGTTGGTTTGAAAGTTAGGTACCCCAGCTTTAAGCGACAGCAGCTTGTAATGCCTTGATCTTGTTACTTATTCAACCTCCCATTCCTTTATTGCACTGAACTTGCTGTACTTTCAAAAATGTTTATAGTGATTATTTTTCAAGTTTGAAAAAGCCGTAGATGAGAAGCTAAAGCTTATGGCGCCTGCCTCTTCTACATTCAAATATGTAAGCATAAGTATGTCTCCCTATTCACCGCCTCTGATGTATATAAATAGTCCCAACCCCCAAATGGTTACATTGAGCTTCAAGAAGTAAAGACATCTTGATAGAGAAGACACAAAAAGAGAACAGTAAAGAGCAGCGAGTGCCCATCAGCACCTGGGACAGCTCCTATTGTTAGAGCAGCAATTTGAGAAACCTTGGTCTTCATTAACAATTGGAGGCACGTTATGAAACACATTTATAAAAGTATCTTCAATGCATGCAGCACTAACGCCAATACATCAACTTCATGTCTAACGTTAAACAAGCTTCAATATGTCTTTGTATTTTAACTGTGCTGGTTCTAAACACATTAAACTACATTGGGGATTTGATATGCATGGCCAAGCGTCATATTGTACTGTATTTTGTGGGTTCTGCTTGTTCGACTGCTTAGCTGCACATACAATAATGTTAAAATAGCACCAAAGCATGGTAAATGCGAGAAATCCCACCATAAAGCAGGCAGCGTCTTTTGTTTACGCTCGTGTCATTGAGCATGTTGTGTGACTGCACATGCATACAATGGCCCCTAATCTCCGTCTGTTTGAACATTATCCAGCCGACACATCCTCCTCTTTTGTGTTATTTTTCTCCTCATCAACCCCATGAAGCGCCACATGCGTTTCAGTGCTTTTCGTCTTGTATTCTAAACACACATGCACGGCACTCTAGGGAACGTGTTGCATCTACTGAGGAGATGTTGCGGAGCCTTCCAGACACCGCTCAGACAGATTGGCCCCTCATCTTAAAGACAGCTGATAATGAATTTAAGGCCAGGCCCAGTCCCTGGCGCAGCACCTGTAGAAAGCACAAATGTAGACGATGAAAGAGGCAGACAGTCTCAATGTGCCTTGGCAAGCCTTCAGAGCCAAGAGGAAAATAACTCCCTGCATTGGTGTGGGGGTAAATAAACAGTTTATTAAAAAGATTGACATTCTCATTGAATGAGGCTAAGATTAATAGGTGAATATTGCTTTCCTATTAGCAGGAATCGAATATATTTGAGGGAAATGATAAACTGATGAGTCAAGTAGGGACAGACCACAACTTATTGATTAATCACTATTCTTTTGGATGTTTCATGTATCAGACATTGTGACATCACCACCTCTTCTTTTACACCCAGCAACAAGAGACCACTGACTCTAGAGCACAAGGATTCCTAAACTTTTCCAATGAAATAATTTCTGTCAAATTTAAGGCTACTGGCCGTAACTACTACTGTATATTAAAGATCATTATTACCACTATAAAACAGTAAACTCTTTTAAAGATGATATGTGAGCTTTTTGAAACTCGACATCCTACATGTGACAGCAAGAGTTATGGCTGTGCATTTCCTCTGAAAGTCTAAAGCACACACACTTGTATTGTGGAAGTGCATGTCTTGTTTTTGGTGTTTAAAATGAGGCTGCTAAAGTCAAATGCCCATAATGTTAATAGAGTCCGACTTAATCTTCTCTCATGATGACTTCTGGGACGCTCTTCACAACATCTGCCTAGAAAACCAGGCAGCCAGAGCACAATTTTAAACACCTCTTCATTGGATCTGGAGGTTGTTTCCAAATCAGGCGCTGACACAAGGGTCGTTAATGATGAGAAGATGTGTGTCACCTTGTCTGTTGGCGAACAAATCAAAACAACACATTTGCATAGAGAATAGTGGATGATTGTAAATACGATTCTACAATGATTAAATATTCCTCCTGTGCACTCTAAAAGAAGGCACTTCTGAAGCCTGAATTACCAGCTCTTACATTTTTATATTTTCTAATATATAAGCCCTGTTAATTATGAAGAGAAAGTGAACTTAATCCCCTGTGTAGCGCAAGTTTTGAGGCAGTAAACTCAAGTCATAAATTGCTTTGAGTCATGCCTACTTGGTAAATGAGTGAGCATTAGCGCGGAACACATTGCCTCCAACTCAAGAGCGAGACATTAATAATATGCAAGTGGCTGAGGTAATGGTGGCCATATAGTCATAGACTGCACACTGTATATTAGCACACATAGACCTACCAATCAAGCATGAGCGTAATTATGCAGATGAATAGAGCAATGTGACATCTCTAACGTGTAGAGACAAAAAACTGTGCCTGACTTTTCTAAAAGCAAGTAAATGACATCCCGATCCATACGAAACCGAACATTAATGTACATTTACTTTTCACCACAATACTTCTACGTGAGCATGAATGGTGCAGGTGTCACGGACTGATGTTTGGCATATAGTCTCTTTGTAGGGGAGCCATTTTAAACAAACGCCAGGTTGAGTTTAGTTCCATATTTGCAGGTATTTAAAGATAACAATTGATTCTTTATTAGATATTTGTATCCAATCTTATATCTTATCTTCCAGCAATACAAATGTGATTCCTTGAGTTTAACTTATAACTGTCTGATATTATGCTCTTACCTTTGAATTGTGCTTTATCCCATAACAAAACAGCAAATGGAAGGAAATGTCTTTGTCTCGGTGCAACAGTCAAAGAAGAGAGGTGAAGAATAGAGTAAGGCATAATATTTACAGTGTTGAGCCCTTTATGCCTTAAGGGAGACATATTATGTATAATCGTCTTTTTTGAGTAAAGTAAAAGTAGCCATTATTATCGCCTATTTAGTCCTATTTATTCAGAGGAACCACTTAGTTCCCTTTGTTTGTGTGTACATTGGCATGAATTGGCTCTAAGTGGATGTAACAATAGCAGTTCGGAACATTAATGTGTGTAATTAGGTTGGGAAGTAAATAAATGAAACAAAACATTAATAATTCATCTTCTAATGCCATCTACTTTAGTCTATTTTTAATTATTAATTCACAGAGAATTCTTATGTGCCTCTGAACTCACATAAGACATTGATCACATTCTTTAGATTGAGTGTGTAAAATCAAGTATCAGAGAAGTGTGCGCTGCAGGAGGAGACAGAGGGGAGGCACACCAGAGGCAATGACTATCACTTTAATGCAATAGTATGGAGACACTATGTAGCGTCCTTCATTGACCAGGTTGATGATACTGGCATTGCTCCTGTGGCACGCCTGCTCGGCATTTACCTTGTTATGAACCAGTCCACCCAGTGGCCGTCGGGCTTCAGGCAGAAGACGTTCTCCTAGGACCCAAAGAGCGTTGGGCAGAGATCCTTCACCATTTTTAGCAGCTCCTTTACCTCTCCGTCTGATGTCTCCAGAGCTTTTTTTTAAGACTTCTTAAGTGACACCTGTAAGAAAGTGGGTGTGGCCTGCAAAGCTGCGTATCACTGTATCCAAGATGACCATTCTTGTCTTCTGTCTTGTAATAATGGTATTCAAAAAGTTTGTCCAGACTGGCCATGTCAGACACAGAATTATAAATGTAGCATATCACATCCAAGTCTGCTACACTGTGTTGTACAAGGTGCAGATCTCAACAAAGTCTTTGGTCTGCTCCTTAACCTGTGTTCCACAGCTCAGAGTCATCTGCCTGTTTCTGCTGAGATTCGAGCATCAGCTCTTGGCCTTGGAACTGAAACTTAGCCATTACTTTCAGGAGATGTGTCTGCTCCACAGTGCTCTCCTCTAGAGGAAGATGGATGGCAGGGTCTCCTGGGGCTCTTGCCTTAATTTGAATGCTCCCTACTGGTGTGGGGGCGAGCAGAGCCTGCAGGTTCTAAGGGCTCATTAAAGATGCGGCCATCACCCTCAGATGTTTTCAGTCATTTTTATGCTTTTGTGTCTGGATTATAATGCCACGTAAATGTTTGAAAAGGAACATGACTGGACTATTTTTAGAGGACACAATCTATGTGTAAACAGCCAACATCTAAAGTCGCCTCAACCTTTAACAACTAACTTCGTTCTTTCTTGATTATAGCAGTTACACCTTTTCACTTCCCCTCTTCTCCTCGTGGCATTACATGTATTGGTTTATTAGACACCCTTTCTCTGCTTCCGGTTAGGTACAGTATGTGTTGTTAATATTTTTTCTCCCATGGCCTCAGACAGTCGCTCAGGATCTGTCCAATAGCCCTAAATAGTACCGCTCAATTAACCATATTAAAATGCAATACCATGTGACCTAGTGGGTCATTCTAACAACATGATTGCCCATAGAGATGATTGAGAGCAGCTTGACTGATTCTGAGCCGGATATTCTGTCGGTCACAAGAACATCCATGTGTGGAAACCCAATGCTGTTCAAGACAGTGTATAATCAGGGGTGCACATAAGTGGTACGCAGGTGTGCATGCGTGACACATATCAGAAATGTGTACTAACACTTGAGTTGGTAAGCGCCTTTGCGTACTTAACAAACCATAGACACATAGACCATAGACCAGTCTTCCCTAGGGGGGCGTTGTGCAATGCCAGTGTGACGGAGCGGTCCGTCTCTAGCTACGTGCGCGAATATAGTTTTATACTAAAGGCTGACTTTCATGGCGCACGCGCCACACACACACCGGCACGCACAAACACCGGCACTCACAGACAAACGCCCTTCAACACTCGCGCACCCTTTCCCCCGCGTTCCATTCATACGTAACATCCATTCTCTCATGCGTCTCTCCCCTCAGTTACTAGTTTGTCAAAGGTGCACACTTGTGCGGGTCAGAAATACATTCAAGCAAACATTTACACACACATTTACCGGTCTCTCGCGCTCCTCTGGGTCTGTGCGCGAGGATCAAACCAGGACACTATTTCCTGGTGGGTTAAATGGGAATTATGCCCATGTGATGTGCGTAATTAAATGTACATGTTTTGAGAGTGCATTTAATGTAATTTCTACCAAAATAATTTGCTAAATAGGAGGGGCCTGGTTACAGAGGAGGTAACTTTGTATGGCCCAATAGCCACCGTGCCGCTATTGGGCGGCACGGTGGCTGAGTGGATAGCACTCTTGCCTCTCAGCAAGAAGGTCCTGGGTTCGAATCCCGGCCGGACCAGGGCCTTTCTGAGTGGAGTTTGCATGTTCTCCCTGTGTCTGCGTAGGTTTCCTCCGGGTACTCCGGTTTCCCCTACCACTAAAAATATGTACAATAGGTCTGGCATGCGCCTCCTGTTCGGCGACCCCGCTCCCATCTCTGTGTGGAGTGAGAGGACAAGTGCCCAAAAAATAACAATTGTAAACCGCTTTGTGACTCTGGTCTGTGAAAGGCGGTATATAAATAAAGCTTACTTACTTACTTACTTACTTAACTTGAAACTTAAAGGTGACCTATGTGTCTGTGTGAACTTGTTTTTGTTGTTGTTGCTAATTTTGTTGTTAATATGCTCTGCACTGCCTTCACCATTTTATTTGCACTCTGGGAGTATAGAAATTAAACCCACCTAAGCATAGCTGGACTCCGAGCCTTTTTATTTTTATCAAACAGAACATTGTTAGATATTTTTGCTTTGTTTTGCATTTTTAAGAAAGAGCCCAGTGAGTCATTATTTGACTTGGATTGAGTGGATTATCTGAGCTGACCTAAACTTTAGCATTACAAAGACGCAAGTATAAAATCTCGATTAAGAACCACGCAACAAATGGAGTGAGTACCAAACACCATCTCCTGGTACTCATCTGAGTACGTCACTGAAAAATGTATGTGCACCCCTGTATATAACGGCAGTATTCCTACCAACAATAATTAGAACATGTGTTTTTCAGCAGAGGTATAGGGGTGGCATTTATATACAGTATGTACCTCTAGCTATACCTCTAGCTTCTCAGACTGTATTGACCAAGGCGGACTCGGGTTTAATCAAGTCTAAAAATACATGTAAACACACTGAACGGCTGATGGATCAGTCGTGACAGGTTTCTGACTGAGGTTAATGGATGCTCTCATTACCAACACCAGCAAATAAAACAAAGCTCGGTCTGAGTGCAAACTGGCTGCTGAGGCTAATGAAAGTAATTATGGAAAGCAGTCATGTTGAAAATATTATGGAGCATAAGCAAAGACACGGTGTCTTCCGCCCCTTATGCCACACACTCATCACACAAATGGTTTGGCGTTGGAGCAATTAGGTGTAAGACTTGTCTTGTCTAGAAATAATTGTTAATTTGTTCAAAGTGGATTGGAAAATTGTGAGGATGAAGATATATGATAAAACATATGAGGAGGATGGCCTCTTGCTGTCAAACATTTAACTACAAATACTTTTTTCCTTTTAGTCCATCCCATTTATTCAAGCGTACAGACTTTCACCTTTGTGCTATTCTCGGATCCAAATGACCACAGACAATTATAAGTCAAAAATCCACTAAATTAGGGTCCAAAAGGGTCTAAATTCCCCAGGGCTGGTCAAGTTTATTTTTTTTAATAGTTACTGTGGCGGGTCAATTTGACCAACAATAGCGCAAGAGTTAAGCCTGATTAGCTTCATCCCAGTATCTCAAAGTGTCCCACAGAAAGAAACACAAAAACAGATTCGGAGAAATCACAAAAGTAACTCATACCAGTTTGGTTGTAAAGGCAAAAGATATTTTTGGATTAACAAATGCATGGTATGAGGTGATGATATTTAATACAAAATTCAAAGTCCTCGGCTTGTGTCCATTATTGTCTGAACTCAATAAACATGCTTAAGACAAGAAAGATATATCACCACAAGTTACTGCATCTGTGAATGTTTAAACTACACACTGAGGTACATTCCGGGCAAAGACATACCATCTCCAATCTAAAGTTTTCAAACAACTCTTAGTTAACTCCTAAGAAAAACTTTCAGGTCAATACGGGCCCAGAAAGGCAGCGGTGTGGAGGAGGAGAACAAGGGGGGGAAATGGATGTGTAAAAAGCCGGAGCAGAGCTGTGTTGCCGGTGCGCTCCCCTGGTCCAGCCCCAGAGGACGGTGTGATGGAGCAGAGATGAAAGAGAGACTTTGAAGGAGGAGTGATCCTTCCCTCGCTCCCTGGAAGGAGGAGAGGAGGGATCAGAGCAAAGGCCCCCGACACAGCCAGAGATGTTGAGATACACACTATACTTTTCACATTATGCTCTTGACTCCTCTTAGAAGTCCTGGCCAAGGTGACTTTACCGTCCATTTGATTTTGCTTTGAGCCAGGCTTTCTCAAATGGGCCATACGGACTGCCTTTTTGCACTTTCTTATTGCTGACGGCATCAAACTGCACTGTAAAGTCATCGCTCTGCTCCCTGTGTGATGACAACTCAGAATCTATCAGAAAGCAATACTGCAGCTTTCCCTCAGTCTATTAACTTATAGTTTATTGTACATTGTCAAATCAACTCCAATAATCTCTGCACTTTTGTGTGTTTGATACAGATTCCTTTCGGCATATTTGCGTTGAGTCAGCCATAAGAAAGACAATAAAACTTCAGTGTGTTATTATAAGCACAATCCTGCTCATTTTGATGACATTTTCAACTAAAGTTCAGCCGACCGTGCATATTCCTCATCACAAACAAGCTGCTCCACATACCTGCAGCAGCGTGACACAACATATTTAGGACTCCTCTCAGTGTGCAGTAGGGACGGGAAAGGTGGGACAGCAGGGGCATGGTCACGCTGCAGGTCATGCGGAGTTAGAAATGAAATTCAAGCCTCATTATTGTGTTTTGTCAGCATTTCCCAGGTGTTCTTTGTCTTTCGCAGGTTGATTTTAAGGTCGAATGGTCCCATGATGTGCATTATAATGACCGTTAGTCAACAAGCCGATTAGCGGAATAATCTAACAATGATTTCAGGTATAATTTAGGCAGTGTTTAGCACAAAAACTATTATTAAACACAATTTAGTTATTTCTTTCTTATTGTTGAATGTAAACAATCTTTGAAAACATGTGACCTATGATCTAATGTACATACTGTATAATGGCTGAAGAAATTAACTACAACTACTACTACTTCTACTATATATATATACATTTATATTGCCATAAATATTCTTATAATGGTTGAGAGAAATTATACAAGTAGTCTTAATGTCTTGATATGACAAATTCTAAACTGCCTAAAGTTCACATTTTATCATTTGTACTGTTGACAGAATATATAAAAAGTATTGAAGTATAACACTGTCTGATTGCCTGGATTCCTTTCACCACCGTCTGAAGACATCTCCAATCTATCCCTTGTCTTTTGTTCTCTGTTGGCGAGGTCATAGAGGCAGCAGTCTGAGCAGAGACGCCCAGAGCCGGAGGCGTCCCCTGGCCAGCTGGGAGACATGGTCACTCCAGCGTGTCCTGGGTCATCCCCGAGGTCCGGAACACCTCCTCATTAGTTCCTTTTAAAATGATATGATATAAAATGATGAAGAAAAAAATAGAGCATTGGCCTTTGAGCCAGAAAGTCGTGGGTTAGAGCCCACCATAAGGCTTTCACCATCGACTCCCACTGTCTGCTGTCGTTGTGTCCTTGGGCAAGACACTTAACCTTTGGGAACACCTGATGCCACGGTGGGGCGGCTGTAAAGTGCCAAACTACTGTTGTGTCCTTAGGCAAGACACTTCACCCCCATTGCCTAGAATGAGTCTGGTGTGTGTGTGAATGGTTGGTGGTGGTCGGAGGGGCCGATGGCGCATACTGGTT